ATTTCTTTGACAGTGGTGTAATACCAAGCTGTTCGAACATTCTTTTATCTGCCTGATTCCGAAAAGAGATACAGTGGAAGTGTTTTTGTTTTTGCTTCTGAAAATTTTGCTTGTCATTTTTACTCGCAATAATTGTACGTAGTTGGAAGAAGGAATCCTCCACATACTTCAACTTTTTATAACTTACTGATAGTTATCGTGGTGAAGAACATGTCAAATAATTAGGTAAAGTCAACACAGCCAGAGAAGGAGCCACCACTTGCCAAGGTGCATCCTAGGTAGTTACGATATTGCATAATGGTATCGGAGGTAGGGGTGATAGTCGGTGGCCGGTTACTCGATCAACCGAAAAATCGAACCGAAATTTGCCGTTAGTCGGCTAACCGAAAACCGATAAAAAAGCTTCGGTGTCGGTTGCGGTTGGTGTATTTTGGGTTATTAGGTAACCGGCGGTTATCGGTTGTTAACCGACAAGAAAATCGGTCCACCGATATAACCGCCCAGCCCCTTTATTTCATTCCCAAATTCCAGTTCCCAGACTTCCTTCCTCATCTCTAATTCCCCATCCGCCCAGAACCCAACTTCCAACTTCTCTAGCTCCCAATTTCCTCTCATACCTCTCCAATCTTGACTTCGTCACCCATCGTCCCCTCACAATTGTCCCTGATTCACTCTCTCTCCCTGCAAATCAATCGTTCCCCCTTCCTCTCTCTCTCTCAAATAGCAGATCTAGAGATCCGCTCTCTTCCTCTTCCTTCAAATCGATCCTTCCTCCCATTACCACCTCGATCCCATCACCATCTCTTCCTACGATTGGGCAGCAAAGACAAAGCCAGAGGAGAGAACGTGTGTTGGGCAGCATGCAGCTTTCCCGATCTAATTCAACCGCCGCCCTCCACATCTAAGTCAACCGGCCTCCGAATCTGGGAACGAGAAAGCCTCCTTGTCGTCGCCGCCCTCAGTTACCTCCTCGAATCCCCTCGTCGGCGTCGATTGCCAACTCACTGCCCTCCCGCAGAGTGAGAAATCTGGCCAAATCCAGGACCTGCTCCGTGCAAGTTCAGCGCTGGTAGCCGTGCATGTTACTTCCCCTGAAGTTTATGTTGAATTTTTTTGTTGATTTGGAGAGGGTAGAGGAGGCCATAGAGGCAGTGAGGTGGAGATTGGGATTTGGGAATGGAAAGGAGAGACGTAGAGAGAGTCTGGTTTTGGAGAGCGGGAAGGGTAGTAGAGATGGGAAAGAAGGATCGAGAATGTGGGCTGGGGAATGGGGACGGGCAAATTCTTTTTATTTTTCCTCATAAATTTCGGTTAAAGGTTAACCGACTCACCGAACCGATGGTTACGGTTGGCGGTTTCGGCTAACCGATTGCTTAATCGGTGGCGGTTGCGGTTGTCTATTTCAGGCACTTATTGGTGGCGGTTAACCGATAAATCGGTTTCGGTTTAACCGAACCGCAACGATTATCAGGCCTAATCGGAGGTTGCTTGTATAATTTATATCTAAAATTTTCTTTATATCAAGATTCATATGTTTTAACGAATTATAGTTAGTTTTGTAATTAATTTTTGGGTATATACAATTTAATATCCAAACCTTTTATTTTAAACAATATAATATCCAAACCTTTTCGAAAACAATCTAATATCCAAATCGTCAACTTTCCGTTCGTTTGACCGTTAGTTGACACTTCAAGAAAGCTTTGTTTAGGGGAAATTGTCACAATACAACTTTGTTTTATTGTTTTGGCATTGCAGATGACTGAATATTTAGATATTCTATACCATCATGGTGGAGTCATGGACTTCTCGGGTTTGGAACTACGATATGTTGGTGGTTTTTCAAAGAAGATATCGATGGATATTGATGATGTGTCGTACTTCGAACTTTTTTGAAGTGTCAACTAACGGTCAAACAGACAGAAAGTTGACGATTTGGATATTAAATTGTTTTCGAAAAGGTTTGGCTATTATATTGTTTAAAATGAAAGGTTTGGATATTAAATTGTATTTACCCTTAATTTTTTCACTTATTTAGATTCATTTTCGTTTTTATTGGCGTATCGACTTGCAATATTAGTACAGTTACTATCAATCAATAGAATTTATAAAAGAATATTTTTCACAATGAAGTACGTGAAGAACACACTTCAATGTCAAATGAGTAATGAAGCTATGAATGAATTTTCAATTAATATATTGCGGTCACACTCTTTACTGTTTGCGATAACACTTCTGCAAGACGTATTGTAGAAAATCCAACCGCGCATGAAAGGACCATCCATATTGAGAACAATTGCCACCTCATTCACCAAAAGATTCCCAACAAATTGATCAAGTTATTTCACATAAGTACTGACAATCAAATAGCCGTTATCTTAACTAAATCACTGTCGATACTCGATACATAGGTTTCTGGAGCTGATTGCCAAGCTGAGCATGTGTGACATACATGCTCCAATTTTTTGGGGTGTTAGTGTATATATGATTGAAAATGTGAATTTTAATATATTCGATTAGTTTTATGTAATTTGTAGAAGAGAATTTTTACAATGCTGTACCTTTTTTTTCAATAAATAACTTTATCAATAATTATCGGATCCATATGATTACGGCATCAAACCCTAGCTGGTCAACTTAGAAATACTAATTAGTAAAGACTTGGACGAAATTCCAAAGTATTATTAATCGCACACAAAGCTGATTATTATGGTTTGCATGATGTAGCAAAGTACGAGAAGATGATAAGGTGGTTGTGGTAATAAGAAAATATAAGTACCATTTCATACCATCCTTCCTTCACACAACAAAACAATAATGAATATTCTTCACCCATAAATTAGGGGTGGAAACCGATCGGAATGAGCACCATACTAGGGATGGGTTAGCATGCTATCCCCCTAAGATGTTGAAAAATGACACCCCTAGTGTATTAAATACAACTATAGAATTTAATACACACATTAAATACACATTAGGAATTAAATGCACCATATTAATTATTATCTTTTTTTTTCAAATTACAACCTACACTAAATATATTCTCTCTCCCTATATCTGATTTTTCCTTTTTCAGCAGCCTCTGACCACCAGACTTCCACCGATCGCCACACTTCTCCGTTGAAAATCTCATCGGCAGACTCCCTCCGACCAGCTGCTAAAAATATACCACTGCACTGATACGTTGTACCACTACACTGGTAGTTATACCACTGCACTGGTAGCGATATCAGTGCACTGGTACCAATGTCATATATGAGTATCAGTGCAGTGGTACAAATACCAGTACAGTGGTACAACATATCAGTGCAGTGGTATATTTTCGCAGGTGACCGGAGAGAGTCTGTCGGCAGATTTTACCGGCGAAATGTGGTGGTCGGAGGCTGCTCGGAAAGGAAGAATAGAGATAGGAGAGAGAAAGATCAAAGATGAGAGAGAAAATTGAATTTTGTATATGTTTAAATCTTTTTAAAAAAACGAGTAATTAATGTGGTGTATTTAATGTTTACTTTGTATCTAATAACAGAACATTTATTATGGTTACTTTCATTAATACTAGTCAATAATTAATGAAAAATTGACCAATTAACAAAGGGTGTCATTTTTCCAACCTCTTACGGGGGTTAGCATGCTAACCCATCCCCACTATACTAACTAAATTTCCAGCCATCAGATATAAATGTAATCTTATGGTTAGACTTTCATAAAGGTTAGTTTGGTAAAAACTCAAACACTCACGACAAACCCTAATATAAATATACGAACATTATGATCGCCTCTCCTTTCTCTGAAACCGTCCCCCTCTTCTATCCTCTTTCACAAACCCTTACCATCACGTTCTCTCTTTTTCTCCGATCGGCGGCGCGGTCACGAACGCCAGGCGGCGACAAGAGAAGGGCGTCGATTGAGATGGGGGTGGCAAGCTGCGGCGACGGCTTGTGAGATGATGGAAGCTTGGAGAAGATGGAGACATGACCGCCAAAAATGGTGGGCGAATCCTCCATCGGAAGAGCGGCGACTTCGGAATCCTTTTCCAGTTCTTGAGTTCCATATCCAAGCCTTGCCTAGGCGGTGGAGGGGGAAGGAGCGGAATTTGGTGAGGGGAAGCGACAGTGATGCTAGTTCCAGATCCAAGGTCTCAAGAGGGAAGTGGTTGGCTTGATATTGATAGTAGTGATTTTGGGAAGCCGCTGGCGTAATTTTTGTTGTTTTTAGTTGTGATTTTGGTAGTGATTCTAAGAAGCTGTCGACGTGATTTTTGTTGTTGTTGTTGTTTTTTTTCTTTTTTTTTAGATTTTGGTAGTTGTGATTTTATATGTATTAGTATGGTTCTCTTATAGTAATGAGTAGTGGTAACTATTAGTAATGTTTTTATAGTAAAAATGGCTACTATTAAAAAATGCTACTAACTACGATAAAACCACTACTAACAGTCATAAAATCACTACTAGAAATTTAAAATAGCTGCTACACCCACCAAAATCACTACTGATTTAAGTAGTAGTACTTTTTCAATAGCTACTAATTTAAGTAGTAGTACTTTTTCGATAGTTATTTTTGTACGTAGCAATCTCTATTTGAAATATCTAATGTACCCTCCACTACATGGGTTCGGATAGAATAACAACACCTTTAGTGTTTTTATAGGTCTCGAGATCGGACTGTATCCAATCCAATATTTGGTCCTTATATATATTTCCGAAATGACCAAACTAGACCGTATCAATTTGGTCCAATTTAACCGGATCGGACCGTATAGCCACTCCTAGTGATGAGAGTGGTTAGTGCTAACCACTGAAGTTAGCAACGTAACCTCTCCCCGAAAATATTGACAACCTCTCGAAAAGTCATTATTATGAACCCGAAAATAAACCCGCAAAAGAGTTGGCTCAAAAGTCAATGTCAAGTGCGTTCAATGGCGAGCTTTCTTCACGGTGCCGGTGGACACAGCATTCTTGGTGGGCTACGGTAGTAAGTAACGCTCGTAAGCCCTTCACAGCCACGAATTGGAAGACTTCCAATCATATTCCCCGCCGACAACTCTCTTAGCTTCTTCTCTAAATAATTAACGCCAAACACGCATTCCGCCGGCCACAATATCCTGAAATCCGAATCCCTCCACAATACAAATGGAGCATTCAGTTTCCGTCAATGAAACTCTCCTTCTCCTCCTCTTACCACTACTACTACTTCTCCTTTCTATCAAACACGTTAACTCAAAGAAGAAGGAAGAGCTCCCTCTTCCTCCAGGCCCAAAGCCATGGCCGATTCTCGGAAACATCCCACACATGACCAGAAAGGTTCACATCACCATGTCCGAGTTCGCCAAATCCCACGGCCCGTTAATTTCCGTGAAGCTCGGCGCTCAACTAATCGTCGTCGCCTCTTCTCCGGCAGCCGCCGCCGAAATCCTCAAAACCCACGACCGAGTCCTCTCGGCAAGGTACGCTAGCAAGGCCAATCCGTTCAAACTCAGCGATGTCAACCGAATGGCAATCGTGTGGGCCACCACGTGCAACGACAGCTGGAAGTCCCTTCGTGCGCTCTGCAGGACGGAGCTTTTCTCCGGCAGAGCAATCGAGTCGCAGGCCGCCGTCAGGGAGAGGAAAGTCCGTGAGATGGTCGAATTCCTTGCCGCCAGAGAAGGGCGAGTTGTTGATATTGGAGAAATCGTGTTCACTACAGTTTTCAATTCGCTCTGTAACCTTTTCTTCTCCGACGACTTGTTGGTGTTGGAAGATCGTAAGGGGAAGGCTAGTGGGTTGAAGAGTCATATCTCGAAGATGATGGAGCTTGCCGCCACTCTGAACATTGCTGATTTCTTCCCTGTATTGGCGCGGCTAGACCCTCAGGGTTTGAAGAAGAAGGTGGCCAAGGTCGTCAGCCAAATGTTCTCGGTTTGGGAGCGTTACATAAAGGAAAGAAGAGAAACCCATGAATCGGAATTTCATGTCGACGCTCTGAAACGCGATTTCCTCGACGTTTTTCTTTCCAATGGTTTTGACGATCACAAAATCAATTGGCTATTCTTTGTAAGAAACTCCGATCAACTCATTCCTCTTTGTTAACTTCACTTGACTTCTGTTTTTTTTTTTTTTTTATCACTCTATATTTATATATTCTGATGTTACTTTATTTTTCACAACTACTCTTGTTAGGAATTGCTGACAGCGGGAACAGATACCATTACTACGACAGTAGAATGGGCAATGGCAGAGCTTCTAAGAAACGGGGAAGCAATGAGGAAAGTTCGCGAAGAATTGAAGAGAGAAATTGGGGAAAACTCCGTGAATGAAGCTAATGCCTCTCAGCTGACATTTCTAAACGCCTGCATAAAGGAGACATTCAGGCTACACCCACCCGTACCGTTCCTGATTCCTCACTGTGCTATGGAGACTTGCGAAGTGATGAACTACAGAATACCCAAGGATTCCCAGGTGCTAGTCAATGTGTGGGCAATTGGTCGGGATCCATCTGTTTGGGAGGATCCCTTGTCGTTTAGACCTGAGAGGTTCCTTGACAAGCGGTCAGCTGTTGCGGACTTCAAAGGTTGTGACTTTGAGCTTCTGCCGTTCGGGTCGGGTCGGAGGGCGTGCCCGGGACTTCCCATGGCAACTAAACAATTGTCGTTGATTCTTGCTTCGTTGATTGAAGGGTTTGATTGGACTCTCCCCGACGGCGACGATCCGGCCAAATTGGATATGGAGGAGAAGTTTGGACTTACACTGCAGAAGGACCAACCTCTGTTACTTATTGCGAGAAAACATAGCATGTGACAGGTGAAAAAAAAAAAAGTTTCTCAAATGTTTTCTTAGAGGGGACAAAAATTGCATGGGTTGAATATATCATCTCTTTTGTTGCTAAATCATTAGGTTTTAAGTTTGCACAGGTTGTCTATACCTTCTTTTGTGCTAAACCATTGTTTGAAATTGTGGGTCCGTCATTATAAGGGACAAGTCTTTGTCCTGATCGTATTTGTATTCCTCTTGCATAGCGATCTTTAGTATTGCAATCATATTTGTACACTGTAATACCTTTGGGTATATATACCCGTGTTATTATCAATATACGTATTGTTGCAACTGCAAAACCTTACATGGTATCAGAGCCAAGGTCCAAACCCTAGCTCTCGTTTTCGACTTCTTCTTTTTTGTTCTTCTGTCTACCTGTCGCCATGTCTGGCTATGTGACGTGCGACTCTACTAGCACGTCTCCTTCCTCCGCCGCGTCTCCTACCGCTGATTGCCAATTGGTCACTTTCAATCCAGCTGCCTCTCTTCCTCTCAAGCTGACTGCCGTCAACTTTCCGTCATGGCGCGCTCAACTCTTTTTGTTCCTCTATGGTCTTGGCCTAGTTAGCTATCTCGACGACACCACTCCTGCGCCGCGTGCTACTCTTCTTGTCGATAGTGTCCAAGCCTGGAACCCTGCTCACACCCACTGGTTTCGGCAGGACAAACTTCTTCTCAACGACATCTTTCCTTCAATCTCGGCAGAAATTTTTCCATTCATCGTGGCCGCTCAAACTTCTCGAGATGCTTGGGAAATTCGTTAACGTACCTATGCCGGTATCTCCTACACTCGTATCATGAGACTTCGTGATCGACTACTAGGCGAGAAAAAAGGTGATCATGACATTGCCACTTATATTCAAGCACTTAGGTCACGTGCTTCTAATCTTGCTCTTGCTGGCGAAGTTATTCGCGATGAGGAGCTTGTCACTATATCTCTGCGCGGGCTCGGCCCCAAGTATAGTGAGTTCTCTGCTGGTCTTCGTGCTCGGGACGTTCCTCTGAAGCTTGAGAATCTTGCCAATCGGCTTCAAGCTCTCGAATCTTATCTTCGTGCACTTCGTCCTTCGCTTGAGCAGCCTGCTATAGCTTACGCTACTCAATGTTGCCGTGGCTAAATCATTAGGCTTTAAGTTTGTATAGGTTGGCTATACCATCCTTTGTGCTAAACCACTATTTTTAATTGTGGGTCGTCATGATAAGGGACAAGTCGTTGTCCTTATCGTATTTGTATTGCTCTTCGTCCCTCGATTGAACATATCATCTCTTGTGTTGCGAAAGCATTAGTTTTTAAGTTTGTACAGGTTGGGTATACCATCCTTTGTGCTAAACCATTGTTTTAAATTGTGGGTCGTCATGAAGTCTCGAAACCATGACATTTCAAGGCTCTGATATCTCATGTTAGCAAACAAACCATTTAATCCCAATAACTTGTGTTGTTGGAAAAGAGTTTGTTAACATTTTTTTTTATCTCTTACAGCATGGGCCAATTGTGCTTGCATCCTTTTCCAGAATAAGAGCCACTTGTAGGCTGCAGCCTTGAAAAAATCTGGTTAGCTACTTCCATCCTTGAATGTCGCCTTCCCTTGATTGTTATGTAGTTGAAAGTGGACCATGGATCATCAATTTTGGCACATGCAAACGACTTAAGCTCTCCATCGTCCATAATAACCTGACAGCATCAAACGTTGAGCTCAATCAACAACCACCTCTCATCCAGAACAACATCATACGTTGGCGTGTGTTGTATAATCTTCAATTTTAGAACTTGATTCAGTTTGGACCTATTTCGTGCCCTCGATCTCATCAAGTTTGTCTCTTGCCTTGTCAAATAAATGAAAAAGATCTGGATTGATAGGGAAAAATAAAAAATAAATTCGCACTACAATACTTCAAATTTTTTTTCTTTTGCAAAACGCCTAAGTTTTGCACAATTCGTTGCACAGTAAAGCGAACTAGCAAGCAGTTCGCGTGAACGGAGAGCGAACCCCATGCCCGATTGCTAGCTTTAAAAGCGAGCCATGTGATTCACGGTACTGGAGCCCGATTGGCGGAGAGACAGGTTACGGTGATTACTATAAAATAGTAATCACCGTGGTTACTAAGGGCAAATTGGGTATAACAAATAATTTATTAATGATCTCTTTTAATAAATTACATAAATATATTAAATACAATTTTTCTCTCTCTCTTTCTCTCACTTCCACAATATTTCAGCCAGATCTCTCTTCCTTCTTTTTTTCAATCTTTCCTTGATTTCGTTCATCCAAACTAATACCGCTGCAACAACAAAACAATAAATCAATACCAATCCATTAAAAAAAATACTACCATTGTACAAAACATCAATATCATTCAAGAAATAAAAACACTACCATTTCACAAAACATCAATACCATTGCAGATTTAATCACTACCAATGCGACAAAATCAATACCAATGTAACAAAAGCAATACCAATGCGGCAAAATCAATACCAATGCGACAAAAATAATACCAATGCGACAAAAACACTACCATTACGGAAAAAAAACACTTCCAATGCGAAAAAATACTACCATCACGGGGAAAACACTACCATTACGGGGGAAAAACAATAACAATACGAAAAAACACTACCATTACGGGGAAAAACACTACCAATGCGAAAACGTACATACCACTAAAAAACCAGTCGTCTTCTTCTTTTAGTCGAACTCCCAAGTTTTTTTTCTTATCCCAACCGTTATTTTTGCCTTGCTGAAGAAGAACAGAAGGGTGGAGAGAGAGAGAGAGAGAGAGAGAGAGAGAGAGAGAGAGAGAGAGAGAGAGAGAGAGAGAGAGAGAGAGAGAGAGAGAGAGAGAGAGAGAAGGAAGGAAGGAAGGAAGGGTATTGGGTTTTAGGGTCTACTGTGGAGGAAGACCGGATGGGGATGAGAGGGAGGGGGAGGGGATGGCCGGTGAAGGGAGGTGGGCGGAGGGGAGAGGAATGGAGGGAGGGCAGTCGACAGCCGTTGTTGATGAAGGAGGTCGGGGAGGGTGAGAGCTTGCGGCTACGGCGGATTTGGCGGTAGAAGTAGGGTTAGGGTAGAATATATAGAATAATCAAGTGTGGTCCTTTTTTTTTCTTCCAAAATTATCCCGAGGCAATCTTAACTGTAAGATTAAAAAAAGAGGAAAGAGAAGAAAATAAATGGTGGATACTGATGTAGCCACGGTGGCTACTAGAAATTCAGTTTCCACCCTAACGCATTCCCAGATTATGCGGATCACGCCCCCTGGCAATCGGGTTACGTTAGCTCGCCTGGCTGTCAAGTGAACCAGTCTTGTTGGCGAAGAGAAGAGGACGTGAATCGCTACGCTAGCAAGGCCGATCTTATAGTTGCTGTTGCAGTTGCTGCTAAGGACGTGAAAATTCTATTATGCGTTGGAGTTACTGCTAAGGCCGATCTTACACCCTAGAATGGTTTTTCTTTAGTTGGTTACCCTACCCACAAATACTATTGACCAACCTCTGACTGTAATTTGCCAACAAAATGGAAGAATAATCACATAGGTATCTTTGTACATTCTCCAATTTTAATCTATATTGCTATGGTTTACTAATGAGAATCAAGCTAGGGACACTATATAAGACCAATATTGTCTTCGTAGTTTAATCAAGATTGACCGTTGTAAATCATTTCTTGTGTATTGAACTATTTATTTGCCCATGATGAATTTTGGAAGGATGGGACGGATTTTTCAAGGGGTACTTTTAACAAAATCCATACCTACTAGAAGGTGTGTGGTGCTAAAGGAACTTATGAATCTAGACTTGAATTAAATTGGGCCAGTGGATGAGCTGAAAGTTCATTACGGTGGAAATCTTACAAAATTCCAAATACTGGGATCCAATCGACCGCCCATGAGGCTTCATCGTCTTCAAGGTGATATTTTATTATGTTTTATTAGAAGTGCCTATTCATGAATTGATGGATTGGATTGGTGGATCAACAAATTAAATGTATTGGATTCAATGAATTGGTAGATTCAAGGATTGAATCAAATAGATTAGTAGATTGATCCATGAGTCCAAATGACATCCAAACTTTTACCATTATTTAAATTTTGAAAATTTAAACACTAAAATATCATAATTAAAATTTTAGATACCAAAACGGAATTTTCCAATAATATTTTTCGTATAAAAGATAATTTGTAACTACCAAAATATAAACTGAATTGCTATTCGTCGCCCTAAAATTCAAATTTTATCGCCCTAAAATGTATCACATTGACACTCTTACCCTCCACTTTCAGTCTCGTTTCTAATCAAAACCCTACAATCCCCCCAGCCGCCACCGAGCTCGTCTGTATTCCGGCCGCTGCTGTCACTGTCGATTCTTCTCTCGCCAGCTGCCCACCTCAACCCGACCGCCGCCGGTGCTCTGCTTCTAGTACCGTTGGAGTCGAACCCAAGCAAAGGAGGAAGAAGACGAAGAAGGAGGCCGTCACTTCCCTATTGCTGCTGCCAGATTCTTCTGTTGTTGAACTGCCCCTATGCAATAAGCAATATGGAGCAGGTGGCCAATCCTCCCACCATTTTCCGGCGGGTCTATTTGCATTTTTTTTCATTTGTATAATTGAAACTTGTAATTTAATAATTTGTTTTTGAGATTTTTTTTTATTGTGTAGAGTTGTATGCATTCTTTTAGTGTTTATATGTTTTGAAAAAAAAAATTAGGTTAAGGATATTTACGTCATTTTAATAAATTTTAGGGCGACGAATAAGGTGCTTTAGGGCGACGAATAGCAATGCCCAATATAAAAGGGTTAATTGCATGATTGGTCACTGAGATTACAAAAAAGTTCAAGTTTGATCACTCGAAATATTTAAATCCATTGGTGGTACTTTAGTTTACTGAAACCATTCACGTTTGGTCACTCTCCGTCCAACTTTGTTAACTTTTGCTTACGTGGCGGTCAACTCTAAAAGTTGACCGTTAAGTGTGTGACGTGGCAATTTAAAAATAATAAAATTAAATTATTTAAGATTATCATTTCATTTCCACCTCATTATCACTTTTATTTAAAATAAATAAAAAACCCCAATTTTTTAAAATCAACCCTTTGTAAGTCTGTGTCGAGTGGCACTATAGCTCCTCATAATTTCAAACTAGCTCTGAATGTCAGGGATTCTTTCGTGCAACTGTAACTTGAAACTAAACTGCATTTCTTGATGAAAGTAAACCAAGGTGCGAAAAATGTATATCAGGTAACCAACTCAGGTGCTCAACCTTGTAAGTCTATGTTAGAGAACCGGGAGCAAGCAAAAATCCAACCCCATAGATAGAAGCACTGAAGTTGATAAATTAGTAGCAACCAACACCCAACCAAGGAGCAATTTCTGTCTGTCTAGTTAGCAGCACAGCCAGCTTTTGAGCTCCGGAAGCCTTTCTTTAAATCACTCACTCTCTTCACGCAAGCCGCCTTCAACTTCCCAGGAACTGTCGCAGCTACCTTATCCCATCTCATCACTACATCTTTGGGAAACGCTTTTCTTTTGCTGCACGGGGCGCGCGCCCTTCTCCACTGACAGTCGGTGTAACGCGACCTCGGGCTTCACTCCCGGCATCTCCTTGGCGCTCCACGCGAACAAGTCAGCGAACTCTTTCAAAAGGTCCACCAGTGCCTCGGCCGCCTCTCCGCTCGTGTGCGCCGATATGCGCACACATCGTTCGGGGCGCTCCACGTCCAAGGGGACTTGGACTTCGGCATCGGCTGCTTCCGCCCTGGGCGTGTCTTCCGGACGCACATCAATGTTGTACATTCGCACCCTTTTTGCAAGCCGCGCCTCTGGTGATGCCTCCCCCCGCGATACTCCTACTCCCTTCGGGGTAATGAATTTCAACACCTGATGGCAGGAGGACGCGACCCCGTTGAAGAGTGCCAACAGTGGACGCCCCAGGATCGCGTTGTATGGGGAGGGGCAGTCCACGATTCCGAATTCCACTGTGTGCGTCACGCGGTGCTCCTCATCTCCCAATGTCACCGGCAAGCGCACACGCCCGATGACTCGCGCCGGTACCCCCGAGAACCCAATCAGGACTGAGTCCGCCGGCCTGACAAGACTTGGGGATAATTGCATCTTTTCGTACGTGGACCGGAACAGCATGTCCATCGAGCTTCCCGTATCGACCAGCATCCTCTTCTCCTCACATCCGGCCACCACTCCCCTGATTTCAAGCGCTTCCACGGAGGGCACCCGACATGCCTCCTCGGAGGTTTCATTAAAATGAATGTTCACTGCCGCACGGGCGCTAGCCGTAGCCGATTTCAGGCGCCTTCCTTCTTCTAGCTTCTGCCTTAGGTCCATCGTGCCCGAGATGGTCTCAATTGTGAGTCTTACGCGCTCGGGATGCTCCTCGGGCTCTATGTCGAACGGGGGCGGGGGCAGCACCCCCTTCTCCATGGGAGCTTTTCCTTCCGTACACGGGTCATTCTCTTGCACCTCTCCCTTCTTCTCCTCCTGCACTATGAAGGCCCTCTGCGCCCTATCTTCCCCCTTCCTCACGAACTCGTTCAACATTCCTCGGTCCACCACCCTTTGGATCTCCGACTTGAGTTGGTAGCAGTCAGCAGTGTGGTGGCCCCTCTCCCGATGGAACTCGCAATACCTGTCGAGGTACTGCTCGTTCGGGCGCCCCTCATTGGCCCCGGCCAGCGGATATGGTACCCCTTATCCATCACATATTGTAGCACATTCTTCAGCGAGTCATTGAGCTCGGTGAAGTTCCCGCCCTCTCCCGGTGGAACTCGCAATACCTGTCGAGGTACTGCTCGTTCGGGCGCCCCTCATTGGCCCCGGCCAGCGGATATGGTACCCCTTATCCTTCACATATTGTAGCACATTCTTCAGCGAGTCATTGAGCTCGGTGAAGTTCCCGCCCCCTCTTGGTGGGAAACGTGGTGGATCCGGGCGCCGCACGCTTGCTGGGAAAAGAGGGAGGTGAGTGGTGACAGGCGGTGGACGAGGCGCCCTGACTGCTTCCGCCTCCTCGGGTCGCGCGTCCCTCCTCTCCAACCTTCTTGCTGCTAGAGTCTCTTCCAACATGATCACCTTTTGCAATCTTCGATCCAAATCTTCCGTGGACGTCACGTCCCGTTTGGACAGCGCCCGACACAACTCTTCACTCGTGGTACACTAGTCCAGGCAGCATCCCAGGACTGGGGGCTTCACGTCCTTGACCGCCATAGCCACTGACATCCAGCGCTCGTAGAAGTCCCTGAGTGCCTCGCCTTTCCGCTGCCTGGCTTTGAACAGAGCGCTAATGGCTCCGGCGCTTCCGGCTGGCGAACTTTGAAAGAAAAGGGCTGCGAACTGCTCAAAGCTATCGATCCGCCCCTCCTCTATTTGATGATACAATTCCAATACCACGCCCGTAAACGTGAAAGGAAAAGCGCGGCACAAGGTGGCATCAGAGCTGTTGTACAGCTGCATCTTCGTGAAATAGTTGTTCAAGTGATCCTCTGGGTCGGTCGTTCCATCGTAGGTAGGAAGCGCCGGGATGACGGAGTTTGCTTGTTCCGCGAGAATGCTCCGCGCCAGTGGTTGCCTAACCCCCCATGACCTTCCAAGGCGTCGATGCGCCCATCCGTTATGCTCATCGAAATCCGAAGCCAGGTGCTGCGTCAGGTGCCCCAACTCCTCCGTGCGCTTCAGAGCACTCGACGCCCCTTCATCGTCCTCCTCTCTTTCTCTCCTCTTCCCTCCGGGAGGGTGCGCGTGATGCGCCACGTCCGCTCCTTTCCTCAGCATCTCCACCTCCTTCTTGAGCGCCTCTAGTGTTTGATCCTTCGTGAGAGCGGCGTCTTCCGACTGAGCCATCTCTTGCGCTTCGGTGCCCCCAGCATGCGCCTCCTCGGACGGGCCTGGCGCCTCTCTTGAGACCTCATCCGCTGCTCCGTGCCCCCTTTCTCCTTCCGCCTCCCCCGCTGCCTCCATGAATCTCGGCTCTCGAAGTTACCTTTGCCCCGGCGTGCACTCCGCTCACATGCTCCACTTCCACTACCCTATGCTGCCCCCTATGTGGCGCGCCAATTGTTGAAGCCAACTAACTATGCGCCTCTTCCTGATGTGCCGCGTCCGCCCAGTGATCCAAGCCCTCCACGCACAGGAACACCCTGAGCCCTTCACAGGACTCGTGAGCACTCCAACGCCCAAGTCAGGACCCTTTTCTAGTGAGAGAAGTGAATAGTAATTCTATAGAGAAGTTCTAATCTGAGTAAATGAGGTTCACCAACCCAACTATTTATACTCGGAGCTCGGCCGACCAACATCCCTCTCTTCCGCCCTTCGTCAGGCCTGCATTTAATGCACCGTACGGCCAAGAACTATGCGCCTCGACCACCTGACTCTCTGTTCAGAAGATCGAGGCGCATGATGTCAGCTGGTCCCCAACCCGTACTTTTGCACCCCTCTGCGGCTCTCCGTCGCACGCGCCTCATGTCATAGTCGTGGCCCCACCCATCTGGAAAGGCCCCTTCCAGTCCATGGGCCAACTCCCTCCATGCCATTGGGCCGGCTGGGCCGGGCCCGACTCCGCAGCCTTCCAGCCTCTCTTCTTGGGCCATTCAAGCCCAGCCCACGTGGAACTCCATGTGACGGCCGCCATCCCTCCGCCGATGTCGTTATCAGCTCCACCTTCGTCCATCTCTGCAGCCTCGACTCTGGCGTCGACTGGCTTCCTGTTCTTCAAGAACTTGGCGTATGAATCGCTATCATCCGATTTCTTTTCACCACGTCCCAGACCGCACCCCGACTCATATTAAGGCGGTGCATGTCCACGAGGGCGATTGGGATTGTCATGACACCTTCAAATTCTGGATCTACACCTGTGGTAATTACAGACATATATGAGTATTTTTATAACGCTTGGTACGGGGAAAAAACAGAGGGGATGTGATGAGTGGAAGCTGGAGGTGTTCAAGGAGAGAGTGGAGTACGACGGTGCCAAGAAAAAGGTGAAGTTCAATGGGCTGGAGGGGGATGTGATGAAGCTGTACAACGTAATCTATGAATTTGTGGCCAAGGAGGACGACAATGGCGAGGGGAAGCCGCAGGGGGTGGCCAAACTGACGATTGAATATGAGAAGCTGAAACCAGAAGTGCACATCACTCCACGCTTTCTTTTATTTATTTTAAATAAAAGTGATAACGAGGTGGAAATGAAATGCTAATTTTAAAAAATTTAATTTTCATTATTTTTAAATTGCCACGTCACACACTTAACGGTCAACTTTTAGAGTTGACCGCCACGTAAGCAAAAGTTAACAGAGTTGGACGGAGAGTGACCAAACGTGAACGGTTTCAGTAAACTAAAGTACCACCAATGGATTTAAATATGTCGAGTGACCAGACTTGAACGTTTCTTACAATCTCAGTGACCAACCATGCAATTAAACCAAATATAAAATATAAAATGTATAGGTACTGAATCGTAAATTGTCATTTTAATCTATGGATCAATCAATGAACTACCAATCCAATTGAATTTGGATAAAATAGATTGGACTAAGTGAATAATTTGGTGGATGAATTTGACCGAATGCATGGATATGGACTAGCCTCTATTTTCAGAACCAGACCGGAGGCTAACCAGAAAAGTTTGTGATTTAGGGTTCAATGGTTAACAGTTACAAAACCGTTGATAGAACCGTTCATGATATATAACATACAAGACATGTATATTACACTAATATAAAAATGAAATTATCATTGATCATAAAAAAATTTTAATTCATATCATCACCAAAATATCTAATAAATCATTGAAACCATCTCATAGAAGAAATCATAAGTTTTTTAATTCATGTTAAAAACTATGGTGGATTGATTGTTCTACTGGCCCAATCGTTGATCCGTTCGTCAATCGGTTTAGCTTTATAGGCAGGCGTTCGAGTCCAGTCCACCCATGCATGTGCATGCACGTAACCGATCATGCATGCATGACCACGTCCAACCATTGTTTCCTTCTTTCCGATAGTATTGCGTCACTTCATGATAATTAGTGTTTATATAGTTATTTTGTCAGTTGACGAGTCAGTAGTCACGTGCAAGTATGATTATTTAATTATTTTGTCGATCAAGTTGTGTTTTGCAGTCCTTACTAGGATTAGGAAATTTTTTTTGCGAAGTCAAGAGTTGTATAAAAGTCAAAAGCATAAATAAACTTCCTGAATCGCTATTCGTCACTCTAATATTTAAATTATTTCGCCCTAAATTGTACTAAATTAACGTTTATACCCCTGTGCAATATCAATTACTAATCGCTAACTCCGATTGCAGTCTAACCCACCAACCGTCCGACCACCGCTGCCATTCCTCGAACCCACCGCCGCACCTGTTGTTGCTGAGGAAGGCAGAAGACTCCATAAGGTTCTCTCGCCATTTTTTTCTTCTTCCTCTTCTTCCTTGTCATTCAACAACCAAAAGGTTTCCTTTCTCTTCTTCCTCCGTATCCCTAACAATTTTACTCCATAAATTCTCTTATCGATCAATCATTATCCCCTCAACTGCCAAAAAGCGACGATTGGGAGGGATGGGTTACGTTTCGCTTACTCCCATATTTAGATGGCGGCGGGTGCAATGGCGATCGCCGCCGGAGCCGCGGTGGTGCTGTACTACTCATTGAGTCGGAGATTGGTGGCCAACAGCGTCAGGGTTAATGGGGTATGGCAAATTAGGGCGACTAGGGCGATGGATTGGCGACGATTTTGGGGATTGGGGTAGAATCCTCTTTTTGGTATATGTTTAGGCGAAAATTTTAAAAAATTAAACGAAGGATATTTTAGTAATTTTAATAAATATTAGGGCGACGAATAAGGTATTTTAGGGCGACGAATAACAATGCCTAAAATTCGGGATGATAATGACCATTGGTCATTGAACTTGCTCTATTAATTCGTGTTTACCACTAGACTAGTTTTTAATTTAATTAAACCACTAAACTTGATATAAAATATCAACATCCATCACTTTCATTCTAACTTAACGAAAGTCATCTTAACGGCTATGATGTGGCACTAACGGTGATGACATGGCAACTTCCACCGTTGATGAATCTGCAACATCACTGCATAGTCACTTATAATTGAACTAAAAGCACTTAACTTAAACCAATAAATTGACTTTAAAAAGTATTTGTTGGGAGCTAGATTTGAACCAATAACCTCTACTAGTGAATAAATACCTTCTACCACCACTACAAGAAAACTTAATTTCGAAGACAGAGGTTATATGCGTCTAAATGTCTCTTATTTGCTTCTGTATGTCTTTCGATGCAAATATGTTATTTGAATCATTTGCCTCTGTCTCGGATTCCTTTTCGAGACAAATATAGATACAAATAATATCCTCCTCTAATAATGGAATTCGAGACAAATGGTTTTCACTCTATGTTTTGAAGCAAATAATTTTGCTTCAATTAAGCCTTTAGGGAACACATAATATATTTTGGGTAGAGATATAATAAGCTTTTGAGACACATATGTTTGCCTCTTTACATAATTACACGAGACGCAAGCCTTTCATTTTGACAAAATTAAGAATATGTACTAATATTAATACGCAATTTAATTAAAATTAAATAGCTAATTTTATTAAATTAATAATACACTAAAAATACATTATGAATATACCCTAGCAATACATTAAAGATCTACCTACGTCCACCCCATCATGACTTAATGCTAAATAACATAATTCTAAAGGAATCGAGCACCAATGATCCACGAAATTAATTTCATAATCAAATACATTATCTTAAATACTATGCTAACAATAGATCACTTCCATTCTTCCAAACACATCTCCCCTCACTCGTTATCATTGTTGATTGTGCTTCCACAGTTATTGTTGTCCTTCATCGAATGAAGAGCCTGAAATTGGCAAGAAAAACTGTTAATCCCAAATTGCAAATGGCTAACCTGGTACGGTTTGAGAAAATGAAGCTAACTACACAGCGTATCTCAGATTTAAAGGGGATGATATAATGTAAATCCACACAGAACTACCAAGTGAAAAAAGCAAATTGAAGAAACATCAGAGAAGAAGTTTACCTTTTTATGTCAAGGTACCCGTTATGATGCCTATAAGAAGACTTACCCCTGCTGTGATGCAAGCAAGATAATCACCTTGATTAACCCTTTCCTGAAGATAACAGAGCAAGCCAAACATTTATAAGTAGGGATTTAAAATTAAATCTACTTGTACATGGAAATAGTGGTAGCCGAAGACTTCCATCAACCTAGTAGCCCTGGCCCCTGGGAATTGATCAATTGAACATGCAAACATAAAGAAAACAAATTAAACCCCAAAACGAAAGATTCGCCATAGCCAGCGCTCTACCACCAATCAGTATATACTCATCCTTGAAAAAATGAAAAGAGAGCATGCAATTATAAAAATATCAGATGCATTAGGGGTCCACTCAGAGTCAGATCTGTAGCGATTGACACTGTAAATTGCAGATGAATCTCGGTTCATAACAATGAAGTTACAAAATTAGGGAAGATATTCTAACCGATTGAAAATCCTTTTTCCAACGGTCAACTATCAAGACGTTTTCATTCTTCCTCACTGATCCCACCGCTACGCTGCCGTTTCCTGTCAAATGAAGCTTCTCGCTGCGTTTCCGTTTCTCAAGCAGAAGAGCCACTCAAGACACAGTCGTTTTTACCATCTTCGTTGTTTAGCTTTTCTTTTCTGCCAAGACTGTAGTGTTTCCTTTCCAAGCTACCAGACAAACATATTGCTGAACTTGTTTGTCTTTCTGTTTGATCTGCCTATAAAGGGGCAGAGATGCTAATGAGAACACCAAGTGCTAGGTTTCCCACTTCACTCTTTGTTTGTTTATTATGGTATCACAGCCTGGGATAAAACCCTAGTCGCCACCCCTCTTCTTCTTCATTGGCTGACAATGAAGCTCAGCCACAACCAGCCCCAGAACCTCAACCACAACCACAACCACAACCAAACGTACAAAATGTTGTGGATCCTTCTTCTGACCTCTTCTTTCTCCATGGTTCAGAGAAACCTGGATCTCTTCTCGTTGCTGAGAAACTCACAGCCACAAATTACAATGATTGGAGCAGGGCAATGTTCAATGCTCTTGCAGCCAAGAACAAACTTGGCTTCATCAATGGCACCATTCCTGAGCCAGCTGCCACTGATGCAACGTACGGAGCTTGGACACGCAACAATTTCATGATCTTAAGCTGGATCCAGCAGTCTACATCCTCAGAAATCCGCAAGACTATTTTTCCTGCAAAATAGCTTTAGAAGCATGGACCAGCGTACAAACTCGCTATGGATCTGGTGACCATCATCAAAATTGCAGCGATTGAAGAGGCTCTATCATCTTTGCATCAAGGTAAGCATACTTTTACTGAATATTATGGCAAACTGATCACTCTCAAGGATGAATTAGAAAATTACCAGCCTATAATGCCATGTACTTGCACTCCAAATAGCCATCTTGATTGTACTGCCATGGCTAGAGTTCTCCAATACCATGAGCCCAGTTATGTTATCAAGTTCCTTCGAGGCCTCAAAGAGAATTTCTCTAGAGTTAGAGCTCAAATTTTGTTTGGGGATGAGCTTCCCAACATCAATAGAGTTTTCCAACGCATGCTGCAGCATGAGAGGCAAATCTCTGTCACTCAGTCTTTCAAAATGGTAGCCTCAGTTAACACAAATCCTACAGCCTTTGCTTTTCAAGGAGGAAACAGAAGACCAAACCCTAATGCCAAACCCCCATACTACACATTATGTAGAAGAGAAGGGCATACTGAGAACATTTGTTTCCAAATACATGGTTGGCCTCCAGGGATGGCCAGACCTTCCCCTCCTTCTGTTTCACCCAACATCACTTGTTCTTGCTGTAAAAGAAGAGGTCATACTGAAGAAAAGTGCTTCCAGAAGAATGGATACCCCCCAAACTTTGTTCCAAGGAATCCATCTTCTGGAACTGGTCAAGGTAGACCTTCTGCTCATGCTGTCAGCACGAACCCTCCTTCTGATGAAGTCAAACTCACCAGAGCAGACTATGACAAGATCATGAGTCTTATGAATAGCCAGAAGGCTTAACCTTCTTTCTCTGCTGCTTCCTTTGTTACTCACAAAGGTATTCTTCCAACCTCATCTCTATATGTTCCTATCATGAATGTCTTCTCATCAT